CAAATCAAATGAAACCAATGAAAACTATAAAACAGACAAGGCTTTCTAATACCTTTGAAGTACAAATATAGACTATTTGGGGGCAGGGGAAAAAATCATATTTGATATAAGTGGGTATCTGGAGCTGAAATTTATCAAGTTAGTGTTCCACAGATAATGGCTTGGGTCATGCAGGGCATCTTTCTTGCACAAAAGATACCTCCTCATGTTCTCAGAGCCATTCTTTATGGGTGAGGTACCAGGAGGATAAGGGGGAACTTTCACTTGTATGATATTACCTCTTATCTCCTTTCAAAAGGTCTTTGTACTTATAAATACACATTGAAAATTGTCATGTGAATAAAAAGAATCCCAAGTGACTAAGCAAAATAGGGGAAAGAAATAAATCCAGAGAGTTCACTGAGCACCTGCTTACCCAGGAGCATCACAATATCAATTTCTAAAGATGCAGCAGAGAGGACTTCAGACTCAGGCTAACTATATTTAGTGCTTGCATTTTTACGGCAATACAATAAATATCTGAGACTGATACACAGCAGCAAATAGGATGAATTCCCACAGACTTACTACTTGCAACATATTTCTCCCGTGCTGGCATGACAGAAGTCAGGATTTATTCGCATACTGAGAACATACAGACAGCTGCTCAGACCCCAGGTAAAGCAAGAAATGGTCTAGGCCAGCTATTCACCCATGAATATGTCAGCACGTAGCTATTAATGAACAGTAGCTATTAATGGCAGTGGGGGCAGAATGGGTCTCTCCTGGGAGAAGCAGCCATCAGGAGCACAACAAAAGTCAGTTATTTCTCCTTTCTCCCCCTGTACTCTTCCCATTAGTGGGTGATGATCTATTCCTGCTGAGATTTCTCATTTGTGGGACAAATAATTCAGTTTTTCCCATAAGCAACTTGGAAATTTAATTCATTCCAAATTTCCACAGTTCAGCTTTTCCAAGACATTCTGGGATCTCCTTGGTTGCCAAGTGTTTTGCAAGTTTTACTTGATACAAATGTTTGAAGCTCCAAGGATTTACAACACTGAATATAACTGCTGAAGGACAAGAGAAACTTGGGTCTGAAGGAAGTTTTCTGTCTCACTTTCAGACAAAGATATAAAGTCCTTTCCTCACTGCAAAGCACCTTTTGTTTCTTTGGCAATGACCATGTAGGAGAGCTGCTTCTATCTACTTTCCTACAGCCCTTTGAAGAACTAAGCTGAAGTTGAGGATAGAACCAGGCACTGGTGACAAATCAATTCTTGCCAGAGATGGATTTGTGAGATTCTGCAGGTGATATTACCAGCTGGAAGAAGGAAAAGATATGCCTCCAAAGGACAGTTAGTTACAACTAGATGCATTACGAAGGGATTTAAACCTCCCTATTGCTCGAGGGGGAAGAAATCTCAGTGAAGAAAGATTTGAGTGAGGATATATAGAATGAAAAGCAGAGCTGAAATATAAGAACAGCCCTACGGATTGGATGAAGAGCAAAGCAAAAAGGTCTTTGGTCTGTAGGTCCGTGTTCTTAATCATGGAAACATGTATTCATCTTTCACAGTCATAAGGCTGTGAATCTGCTAGTAACTGAGAACTCTCATTGTTGAAAGGAGTGGCACAATAAGGCACTATAAGGCTTTCAGGATTTTTAAAATAATGTTTGAGAGAATTAATTAATCAGAGAAGTAAGGTATAGCTAGAATTATCATGAACAGCACCACAACAGTACATCTTTCTTAACACTTATCGTTCACTATGAATCCAATTACAAAGTCAATTTATAGAAATCAAATAAAAAAACAAAACTTCCTATAAAATAAACATAGCAGACTCATTATTTCATTTTTTTTTTTTCTCTTGCTTTTCTTGAAGACAGAGCAGCAAATGAGCACTCCCTGTGTCAAAAAAGAAGCTGAGCAGGCATGCCTCTCTCCTATTTCAGCAAACTCTGAAGACAAACTACTGTCATATGATGTGATCCTTCCATTTAACTTGCACAGAATTCTGTCCACATCCCAATTAAAAAAAAAATAATAAAAAAAAATCAACAGAAGTCCCCTGGCACATTTCAGCAACTTCAGTTAAGTCCAGAGGGTTCCAATACACAGAACAACTTCTAGTTGCAACAGATGTCATCCCAGCAGAAAGTTCCCACTCCAGACCTCCAAGTACATTAAGCTGATGTCTACCGGAGTAAAAGGACTGGCACAACTGTGTCTTTAATACATTTTCCCTCTAAGTCCTTTATCAAAATTGTTAGCAAAATTTCTTACATTTATTGAGTCTGATCTAAGTAGTAAGCTACAAAAATTAAATTAATGTCATTCTCAGTAACATTTAGAAATTGCAAGCTAAGCAGCTGCCACTAATCCCTAGTAATTCAAAGTATATTACATTGAAAGAAGACTTACAATAACACATATTGATTTTGCCAGGTTTTTTTTTTCTTTCCCCAAGAAACATATGCTGTGTGTTCTATATTTGTGGGACTCCATATACTCAGGTTTCATTGCAATAGCTTTGACTCTTCACAAACAGATGTTGAGGGAAAATAGCTTAACAGAACATGCAATAAAAACTTTCTCAGATCAAAATGTTGGATAAAGAAAAATCTTGTGTGTAATATACTAAACTAAAAGCTCTGATTGTACATTTTTATACAGAACTGAAAACCAATGCTTGATGACATTTGTGGAAATATTGCTGTTATGCAGGAAAAAAAATCACCAAGTTCTAAGTATTATGTTAATTGAAGTATGGCAACACTGTAAGCTTTCTTAAATGCAAAGTATTTCTATAATTGATTTTACCCAAAGGCCAGATTCAAATTAACATCTCAATAGTTAGCCAAAATAATTTGAAAAGTGATGAAACAACATAATGAATGTTTTTAATGTACTCTTCAAAATAACAAAATGGCAAGTGATTCCTAATTCCAAATCAAAGTATTGGAATATCATCCTGAGACCGACAGAGTTCTCTGCAATTTTCTGTAATTTCTGTAATATCATAACAGTAGAATCTAGCTTATTAAAATACTTTGCTCATGATTAAGCCTAATGACAGTCCTCAGTCTACTTTCCTGTGTGAGCAGATAAAAGTTAAATCCTTAGCATACAGAACCACCATTGTTCCTATAGCCTTTCCCATTATGAAAATAATTGGATCTATAAAGTCGAGACAGAACAGCACATGAAAACTGGCATGAAGTCTTTTAAAATGCATACACATACACATTTTAATCTTGTATTTAGTAGTAATACTGGTTCAAAGCATGCTACTAACCACTTCAAGGATTTTAGGTTCCAGTTTACCACATGAAAAAAAGAGACAAATTATATTGGAATATTTCAATAATTACTTTCAATTTACTTCAGAAATGCCCACACAGACTCTTCGAATTTCCTCTACAACAAACCTTCTTAATCCTGGGTATATAAATTCTGCCACTTCTGAACTACTACTGATCAAAAAATGTGCAATGCATTTCCTTTACCATGAAAAAAGAACTTTCACTGCTCTGGGTCACTTCCAGAAGCCAGAAATAAGTCAAATTCCTCCTTCATGGAGAAGCGACTTTAAAAAATTGGCAGGAAAACCTAGTTTCTTCCACATTCATTGCATGAGAAAAGTCATCGTACTCTTGTACAAAAGTGTTTTATAAACTTTCAAATCAGCGGAAAGTTTCTGTATGGAAAAAGAAATAATAAAATAAAAATAAAACCCAGTCAGGGTTTCAGTAGGCAATTCATAACACTTCATATCCATACCCAAGTTAATGGGTAGTATGTATTAAAATACTTTTTTCAATTCAGCAAATTTTTAAAAACATTTTGGGAGGAGGAGTTATCCTCCTGATTATGTTCTTAAAACAGTCTCTCATAGTTCAGTTTTCAGTTTTCCCCTCTAAAAGCACACAAACTAAAGGCTGACATCGCACTCACAGGCTGAAAATAGAGGGCAAAGATTCATCTATTTGCCACAGATCAGACAGGGATTTCACGGAGATCCAATTACTACAGACCAAAATCTAACACTTTGCTCTTCAACAATGTTATCTGATGATTGACTGCATTAGTAAATCTGATACTTTCTCCTATATTCAATCTGAATAGTTCGTGTTTTTTCAGTTTACATACATGAAAGGTAACATAAATATACTGAGCAAACACATTACTGATCCTCTTCAAATAAACATATTTCCATAAGACAACAACTAAGACAAATCCACATTATTATAAGTATCATTCTTGAAGGAAAATCCAAGGTTTGTAAGTAAAAATAAATAAAATTTAAAAATTAACAGGAATTCTTAACATTCACATCTGATGGCTCTAAGTAAAAAAAAATATTAAAACACATACCTGTATATTTGTTGAATATTTTCAGCTTTGATTTCCTTGAGGATTTCATGGTAGTTATGAGGGTTATTTGGTTCTGGAGATGCTGGAGGAGAAGGGCATTTCTTGCCCGCATAATATCCTATCACAATTCCAAAAATAAATAAAATTAAAGCAGCACAAAATACTTTCAGTATCTGAAAAAAACTGCAGCGGTGGCTCTTTGGTGACTGTCTTGAATAGTGCGAGATGTACTCAGAGTCTTCCTGAAGTCTCTGGAATCTTCCCTTAGGAGAAGCTGATGGCTGGATGGGCTCAAGATCGAGGTCAGGGCTCTGCGAGTTTCCCAGATGATGCTGGACTGCCCCATCCAGTCGGAAATGGTCAAAGCCAGGCTCCTCCAGCTCTTTTTCCATGTCCCATTCCAGTTCTAGTGCTGTGGCCTGGAGGTCATCACTGTCAAGGTATTGGCCCTGGGTTCTCTGGTCCGCATTCACTTTGTGGTAGGCCATCTTTTTAACTATGAAAACAAATTTTAAAAACAAAGAAACAAACTTGAGTGTTTGCTTTCTCATGTCTGTGTAAACAACCTATTTATGTCTCCTTTGCAAACCAGGGAGAACTGAAAATACATATTAAAAAGCAGAAACTCAGTTTCACTCTATTTCCATCTTCCCATTATTCGTTGTAGGATCAGTAGTCCCACAATAAACATCGAAGAGGAAATAAGATATTTAAAGGAATACAATATATTGAAGGATATGAGTAAAGGGAATTGATGAGTACCAATGGCAAAACACAAAAGTTAGTCCATTATTTTTGTCAGTCTCAAGATAGTAATAAAAATTTGAGTGAAGGTACAGAATTTCCAAAACAATTATTTATTATCTGAAAGTCATTTTAAAGCTTAACTGTGCACATCAATTTTATTGCACACACTGTACAAAATAATGCTGCTAAAATAAAGTTGGAAAAATAAAAATAACACTTGCCTGGTCTGACTCTAAACATGAGGAAATGAGAAGTTAAAAAAGAAATTTCAGAGTAACGTTCTACTTATACATCAATAAACGACGACTTCTTAGATGGAAGATTCTATTATTTATAGGTATTTTAAATGCATAGTTCCTGAATGACTGATGAATTTACTTAGAAATTGTCCCAGCTGTTTTGCTCCACTTATTTTTCCCAATTTAATGAATAAAAATCACTGCCAGATACATATTTACAACAAAATCAGTCCTTTAATAGCGTGGCATACTTCTAGATACTTCGAAGGAAGTACAAGCCGTCCAAGAGAAACTGACCTCCAGTACAAACATTCAAAGTCAATTTCCAACAAATCATTTTTAACAGACTGTGTCAGTGGGGTGCCATTTTCCTCCATACTTTGACAATAGCTATTCCATCACATAAGTACCCGTAATCAAGGGCTTTTCTAACTTCAGACTCATCAACTAGAATAAACTGATAAAGATATTAAACTTCTTGCAGCGGCAGATATCAAACCAAACCCTACACTACATTATCCCTCCATTTTGACATTTTAAGGCATTTTCTAAGGAGTACCTCCAGATAACATTGTTGGGGCCACACAACAGATGAACCCAGTCTAAAAGCAGAGAAGAATTTAGCTTGTTTGAAAGCTTTTTTGAAGAGAACAAAAATTAGAAATCATTGACATAATGAACAGCCTATTGTTCACCAAAAGTCTGTCTCGCTCTCTACCAATTTACAGACTCTATTTCCTTGTGCAGGCATATAAATATCCCTTGCCTATGCTTGTTAGAGCAGTCCAGTAACAGCAAAGACAGCACATAGCTGAGGTACGTGTTTCAGGTTTGCCTACTATACACACTTTGCATATCAGCTCTCCACCTGCAGTCCAAATACTTCTATTTGCAGTGGAAGCAAGAGTATAAAGTGAGCTGAATTAAGTTAAAGCACATTGCATAATTTTAAGCACATTTGAATCAATGGACATGCATGCTTTTCAGACATCCAAATGTTGCTAGAAAACCCACAGGGAATCTTTTAAAATCATGCTAGTGTCCTTCAGGATCAAAAATGGTTAGCAAAAATATCTTCCCTGAAAATATGTAGATAGTTCAGAGCTTCCCAGATTCTGGTCAATTTAGCAATCACTTAAGTGCTGCCATTCTGAGGTACCTTTGTGCATCTTGCCATGATGCATGCTTAAAATTATGCATACGCTTCATTGCTTTGCAGATCAGAGAACAAAGTGGAAAAAATTTTGTAGCTAAAGTCCTATAAAATAATACATTATAATTTTTCCAAGTGAATAATCACATATTCATAAAAATATTAGTTTCAAGGGACCTTTGGAGATTATCTAGTCCAGAATCTTACTCAAAGCAGGATCATTGCCAGGCACATTACGGTGTTGTCCTGCTGAACCTTGAAAACTTCTCAGGACAGAGAGGCCAGCACCTCTCTGTTAAGCTGTGGGACTTCTCTTCTGAAAATTTTCCTAACATCAGCCTGAACTTCATGTGCCACAACTTGCGCTTACTTTTACTGCCTGCCACTATCAAAGAGAGTTTGCTGTCACATTTCCTTCGTTAGCAGAAGAAACAAGCCCGAAATCAGGAACCATTTGCCTGCAGTCTCTCCAGTTTCTCAGCATCCTTCTTAACAGAAGAATCCAAAGCTGGACACAGGAACTCAGTTGTGACCTTGCAGCACAGGAGAGCAGTAATATTCCTAGATATGCTAAGCCATAGACAGGAGACTGCCTGTCTCAATCACAGCACTGCTCCATTTGGCACCCCATAATGCTTACCCCAGAGTGCTGGTCTACAGTGCACTACGTCAACCTATTCTTCCCCAGCTGGACTTCGCTTCAAAATCTCCTACGATTCCAGTTTTTGGGGAAGACGCTGAATAATGTCAGCTTCAGAACTGGTCTGCTGATGCACTGTGCTCATTTTACCAGGCACCAAACAGCCATCAAGTACTAATAAATATCCTTGGAAAGCAGAACCAACCAATCTTCAAGCTATTTATCTTTCCTTTTGCTCTGTCTCCTCCTATTTTGTTGGTGAAGGGAATAATTTGCAAACCATCAGTGACATAAGACACTATTAGGTAATAACAACTGCCCAACAGGTTCATCTTCCCAACACCATTTCATACTGCTTTCTACTAGAAAATAATTAAAAGATGAGTGTTTCGCCCTTCAAAAGCAAAGCAAATCTCTTCTATATAATTTTGACTCCAGAATTAATGGAGTCATTTAATACAAGGCTTTAGTCAAATAAACTCCTAGCAGGTTATGGCAGTATTACCCACGGAATAAGAATTAAAGGCAGTTTTAAAACGTAGTTGTATGGCTAATGATCTTGCTGAATTTATAAATAGCATCCATTATATATCAGTAATACTTAAAGTTTTCTCTGCATTTATGACATTTTAAAAACATGTGCTATTGTTCAATGAAGTGTATTAATAAAGGTTATTTAAATCTCTACATATAAATACATAATAAAAATTCATACAAAATTTCTTTAAATGGTTGTTAATGCAGTGAGTAGTAACTGCACTCCACAGCATAATATCTCAGGAACTCAACTTGCATACAAAGTACCAAAATCAGTCACCACACTTCAGAAAAAAAAAAAAGCTAAATGAACTGAAATAACAAAAAAAAAAAATCATACTTTTCAGCATCTTACTTGAGACAGACTTCGGTGGGATCTGCTTAGCAATGAACGTGGTATAGTTGAAGAATACAAAGAAAGCAAGAACAGCCCCAGTTAAGGTCTTCATTTTTATAGTAATATATCTAAGTTCATTATTTGAATTTAAAGACACAACAAAACTTAGCAAGAAGCACCTGAGATCAGATCCCATAGTGTATTTTAAAGTGATGTTAGAAAGCTATCGCCTGGTTCTGAATGACATAAATATATTTTTTTGTATATTAGCAGGCCTACTTGGCTGGTTAAAGGGGCACCATGACTTGAAGATTATGTGTTAAATATAATTCTAGGTAAGAATTAGAAGGATAAAGAAAACATTACAAAGAGAACAACAACATAAAAATAGGCAATAGAAAGAAGGATAAACTATTAAGTCAAGAAAAGCCACTGTGATACTCTAGCTCATCCTTCTCAATAACAAAGACCATAAAACAATACATACTTCTGAAAACTTCAGGAGACACAAAATCCAACCCATCTGCTAGCAAGCTGTTTCGACATTTAATTGCCGCTAAATACATATTTTATTATAAAGATAAAAGAACAATTGTAAAATGCCAGAAGTCTGAATATGCTCAAAGTAACCTTGAAAGCTGTTTTAGAGAGACAACAAAGCAGATCATAAATTGTGGAATACTGGACATAGCAAACTGATGACCAATTAAACTCATGCCCCTTTCTATACTTCCTCTTATTTGTGTGGAGAATATTTATAGTGAACTATCAAATCAATGCTAAATATCCTTTCAGTTGAACGTACACAAGAAATTAAGAGAGTTAACCTTAACAGATCATTATTTCCTTAGAAAGCCCATTTCAAAACTACCTATTCTTTGATGTTAAAATAATGCATTCACCTTCTGTCTGGTGGGTACAGCTTGTTACGAAACCACCAGAAACCTCTTATGATGTTTTTCCCACTTTAATCCCTTATCAATGAAGCCTTTGAAGGCTATCTAATGAGGACTACATAAAAGGTGTTGCATCTATATCACACTGGCTCTCTCTAATACCTGCCCTACAGAAAGGTCAACTAACATGAATAGAACATGAAACCAACGGAGAAATATGAATATATTGCAGTAAATTCCCTTATCTTTATGACAAGTGCTGTAGTTGTTAAATCCAGTTTACAAGCAGAGGATTCAGACATGTTCACAGCAGGAAGAGTGGCAAGCATTAACATGCTGCCCAGAGTGAACACCCCATTGGTCCATTTGGTGTTCTGTCCTGAAAAAGCAACTTTTACCTAGGAAATGTAATAAAGGTATTACATCCTCTTTGTATAAATCAGAAAAAGAAAAATCTGGGGTTGTTTTCTAATGGTTCTCCTTTTGATTCTTCTCTCTCTATTCTCTACACAGGGAATACAAAACAGATATGTCACCTGTTGGAAGGGCAAATAGCTGCACTCGTTCCAGAAATCAACACCCACCACAGATGCATGTCTTTCAAACGTATTTGACAGCTATTTAATATTTTGTTGAGATGATGCCAAATTTCAGGCCTATACACATTTCTTCAGATATAAAGCCCTGAAAAAACGATTGCTTGCAGAAGAGATTATGATGTCCTTGTCGACAGCAACATTACGCTAATTCAAAAAATAATATTATTTTTCCATCATCTCTCCTGTAATTTTCTTCAGTAATGACTTTTCCTTTCCTTGTGTTTGGGATATGGGGTTGGCAACCAATTTAGTTACAGCAGAAAAAGTTCTTTGTCGCAACAACCATATGAAAAACCAATGGCAAAATCAATCTGCTGTTCCTGCTTCCTTCACTATCTGGCTCAAGAT